AAAGGCATGTGAAGATTGCCCTTGTATTAAGGGCAATCTTCACCTTGTATTAAGATTAATCTCAATTTTAAAGTCATTTGTATTAAGGGATTGCCCCCATTTATGAGTTTTTTACCATACAAGTCCTTGGTTACGTTAGTACATTCTAGTTGCATGTAATGGCATGAACTGCATGTTGCCTTGTGCAATGTAGACTGATTGGTAAGGATGCACAAGTGGACCTTCAATGACTTGTACATCCCAGATACAAGGCGAGGATCATTGAATTTTTCTCAAAGGTTAATTTGTTTTATGAAACCAGTAGGACATTCTTTTACTTTTGTTGAAGTTGACATTTCTTTATTTGTTCATTAGCTTAAATATTTGGTATTTTTTATGTTTGTTATCTTTCCAGAGTGGGATTACCAAGCAGTAGGGAGTTATTTGATGCTAAATTGGAGAAGAAAATTTACAGGATTATTACTCGAGTTTATGAATGATTCCCAAAAAACATTGCTACCAGTTGTCCAAAAGCCTGATGGGAAGAAAAATTGGATGGTTTGTGATCAGATTCCTATGAACAATTTCTGCTGCTAAATAGATCTCTTGGTCTTTTTTATCTTTTATATCTCCTCTGACTACTCTATGTTATATTTGATATTACTGATTCTGAGGTATCTAATTTAGTTTATTATTTAATTTTTAAAGAAGAATAGAGTGATTTGCTTAATAAAGCTCCAACAAGTCACATATGTAGTACCTGGTATTGAAGACTGTGACCACATTGATATCTCTGAATTTGTTCAAAAAGCTCAGGGTCTCTTAATAAGTTTCAGAAAATTAGAACTTGGAGACAGTGACAGTGACAGCTGAGGAATTAGCTGTGGTACCTATTTTGCAGAATCTACTTTCCATGCTTGAACACTGCTCATCTTTCATTTTTCAGATTATATATGGCAGCACGGAATCTCTTGAAAGCTACTGTTCCCTTCTCTTGTTGTCTAGAGATAACATATTTTAATGTGGTTGATGGCAAGGGATATTCTTCTCTATATGAACCACGACCAAGCATTAAGGGTCAATACGAGGATTCATTAGGAAAGATTCTTTTGGTCAATTTTCGTGGCTGCCCAACCACTTACTCGATGGTGGCGACAGGCTACTTTTCATGGACGAGGTGGAGGTGGGTTTTCTCTCGTTGCAATGGTCTTCGATGACGATGGCATGCTTTTGCTTGCTTCCATCCTATTGTCATCGTTCCGTCATAAGTTCTTGATCCTTGCTCCAAAGATGGTTCGGTACAGGGATTCTTTGAGAAAGATTCTTTTGGTCTATTTCATGACCGCCCCTTCCTCGACGATGGTGGAAACCTAGTTTTAGACACCATCATCAGCTTAGATTCCTTGGTAGAGGCTAGGGTTTAGGGTTTAGGGTTTAGATCAAAATACTGATTTTAAAATAAAAGAACAGTATTTTCGTAGTTTATAAATATATAATGTATTCATTATATATAATGATTGATTGACATGTCAGTGTGAGATATAATGTAGAACTTCCAGTTTAGCAGAGAAGAAGTTCCATTCTCTCACACTGACATGCTTACAATTACGACTGACTTAATCCTGTGCTAATTTTTTACATCCTCGTCTTGCCAACCTCCCCATGTTGGCATATAAATATCACCACACACACGAGCCTTAAACTAGGAGGCGACATCGCATCTGCGACGCCTGGTGAGGGAGGGCGACGACGAATTGGGATCGTCGATGGAGAGTGGCATCAGATCTCCAAGTTCTCCTTTTTCTTCTCTCTCTTCTTCCTTCTCCCTCGGCTAATACCGTCCTGTAGCGGGCGGCAACGATCGACCGTCCCTAAACCCTAAACCTTAAACAAGTTTTGATTTATTTTTCTTTTTTCCCATTAATATTTTATAACTGATCAGTTTTAAGCACTTATTTGCCGCCTCCATACAGTAATTGGTTGATCATTTATTGTTTCCAATGTGTGTTGCTTCAATTATTATAAATCTCAAAATTTTTTATATATTTATAATATTTATTTTTCATTGGAAATATAATGTCACGGCCAGGAGCGTCTCCTAGCCCATGAGCTCGTTTTGGCCAGTTCGGCTCACGCGTCTTCCTGATCCAGTTATAACTGGGTTAAGCCTGAGTCGAGCTAGTTTGGAACA